TCAAGAGTTTATAATATAACTCCAGGGGACTAATAAGAACACTATTTTTGTTTTCTGTTTCTAAGGGCGCGTAAGCACATCCGGAACCTTGCGCCAGACACCCTAAACCAAAGTCTCGGGCTTGGGGTTTAGGGCTGAGGGAGACGGCGAAACCCGATCCAGACATCCCAAATAAAGCGAATCAGCCAAAAAACTACACTGGGCCGACGAAGCCCTGAACTTGTTGTTTCGGGGTGATCTTGCAAGCAAGATAAGGAAAGTTACCAGTATATGATATGTGATTAAGGGCTGATTGCTTAGCGGAGGTTCACGAGCAGATGCAGGTGGGGTAAAAAGTTTTAACATATGTTATGACAGACCTGTAAGTACCTTACTCAAAGCCCTTGTTGCGTCCTGTGTCCCCTATCCTCCATGCAAGCCTCCATATCCTGAACCTGAGCCGTAAATCCCCAAACCCTTAACTGCCTCAACCCTGAATCTCTAAACCCCAAACCCATATATGTCCTGAAACCTAAAAAACCCGAAACCGCACGCTCCCAACCTGAAACCGAAAACCCAGGCTTGCGCGTAAGCGCCCGTGGGCAGGGCTCTGGTGGTTTGATGCTCGTCGCCACCCCTCAGCCAGGGCCTTGTAAACAGTTCGGCGTTTAGGGTTCAGGGTTTAGGGTCTCGGGTTTGGGGATTCGGTGTCTGTAGATCCGGGGATTTGCATTATAGAGTCTGGGCCTGGGCTTTAGGTTTGTTTTGGTTTGTGCTGCGGTGCTTGTCTTTTTTTGTGTTTGTAACGTGGCTGGGGTTTATCCTCTGCAGGCGGACGTCTATCATCTTCGTGTTGCAAAATGCCTGCATGCGTCTCCTCGAAGCGGAAATGATTATCCTCCTGCATCGGCTTTGTCTCACATGGTTTAAGACGTGCGAGCTATGACAGAGGTCGAAATAATTGCTAGTGGCTAATAGCCAACTGTAGGCCCTGTAGAATTATGCTACAATGACCCTCGAACCCTGCCCTTAGTAAATATGTTGATGCCCTTGCGATATGCTTACGTTGGCACCACATCCAGGGACATTCCGCCCGAACTCCTAAACCTTAAACCCTAAACAACGTGAGCGCACTATTTTAGCCGCCCAATGTCCAAATCACAAACTCCCCGCTAAGCCGTGCAATCCGGCCATCCGAAACCCAACATGAGGCTCCGTGGGTACTGTAGGAGCCTAAAACATTACCAATACTATGGGTTTAGGGTTTAGGGTTTAGGGTTTAGGGTGTTGTTTGTTTTTTGTAATTCTGGTATAGTATACCCCAAGACCCTATTGTGAGTATTGGCCCCCCATATTGGCTATTTAGGTAGTGTTCTAAGCACCTTATGACGGGGTTACACCTACAACCTGCTGTGCTTGTCTTGCTTAAGAGTCTGTTTACTAAGTCCCTGATCGTGATATCCCGTGTAGCTCCTAAACCTTAAGCCCGAAACCCCTAAACCCCTAAAAAACCCTAAACCCTAAACCATGTAGCTCCTAAACCCTACACCCAAAATCCTAAGCCCCAAAAACCCCTAAACCTTAAACCATGTAGCTCCCAAACCCGGCACCCGAAACCTAGGGATGAATCGTCTTGCAGTTCTGGCAACCATCTCCAATCCTACACCTACACCCCGCACCATCTGCGGTTTAGGGTATTTTAGGGTTCAGGGTCTTGCACATTGGACCCTAAAACCCGAAGAAAGCCCTAAAGACCTATGTACAAGCCTAATAAAGCCTCAAGCCTTCAACCAAAAAAACAAACGAAGCCTTCAAACCCCTCCCCCCCCCCTTACGGAGCTGCTGAGCCCCCGTGTATGAACCCCAGCTGGACATCACCATCAGCCATTGCATTCAGCATATTATATCGCCCGAGAAGGATTACTGGGAGGATCATGGGACTTAGTTAAGTAGAGTTTAAGGTTTCGGGTTGAGAAGTAATTTGAATGGGGTCATAGTCATAGCTACGACAAGTTTAGTTACCTTGTTACCTGTATCCTTGGCTACTATTGGTGCCATGATCCTCTCAGTAGGGGGCGCCACTACATAACTCCAAAACCCCTAAACCCCCGACCTCATAACTCCGTTTTTGCCGGGTATGACTTTCCGTCTCAGCTGTAATTTCTTCATGATTTATGATTACCCTAAACCGCATTTATGACCCTAAGCTTTTCCTTCTTTCGCGCGCAGGGAGCTTCTGGAATCGAAGGCCAGTGCGGGGAGACGCAGGTCTTAGGGGTTTAGGGTGTAGGGCGTTAACAAATACCTATACTATTTTGAGGTAGGGTTGAAAGGGGTTCCTTTAAGGGTTCCGGTAAGGGTTCCATAGGGGGTTAGGATTTAGTTAGGGTTTACTTCTAGGTTCATGGGTAGTTCCAAGTGGGGTTACAAGGCCCCTAAAATGGGTTATAACTATAGTTACCCTACTTATAAACTCCACTTATAACTACCCATGAACCTCCAAGCAGGCGGTGTAGGGCGTATACACTGTTGGGCTTCACGATTAGCACTAGGGCATTCGGGCTTTAGATGGCTTTGGACTCGACTCTTAAAGAGTTTCCCTAAACCCCTAAACCCTAAACCCCTAAACCTTTGTCCTTCTGGGGTGTAGGGTTTATGGTTTGGGGTTTAGGGTTCATGTCTTGGAGAAGTTATTGTGGGTCAACCCTAAACGCAAAAAAGTCACTAAATTCCGTCGCTCTAATTACCATGCCACTGCATCTGCTCAATTGCACTTTCAGGGGGGTGAATCTGCAGTATCTCTCTCTCTCTCTCTCTCTCTCACTCACTCATTCACTGACTCATTCTCTCTCTCTCTCTCTATTTGTTTCTCTCTCTCTCTCTCCCCCTCTATTTCTCTCTCTGTCTCACTCACTCACTCTGTCAGTCACTGACTCATCACTCATTTCCTCCCTCCCTCCCCCTCTCCCGTCCCTCCCTCCCCTCCCTCTCCCCCTCCGGCTCCCCTCCCTCTCCCTCTCCCTCTCCC